TCCCTGGCCCTCACCTCACTTGGCATCAGACAGGGGCACCCCAGGCCTGGGCACAACTGTTTGCAGGTCCTGTCATCACTTGGGTAGGTGACACTTTCCGCTGCTGCCTGGACACCCTGGAGCAGTCAACTGAGGGATCCAGGGGAGGGCACCCTGTCTCCTAGGATCCCCAGGTTGTGTGAGTCCAGCCCTTCAAAGACACTGGGGCCCTGGGGCCCAGGGTCACAGGTGTGACAGCAGGGTGGGAGGCTGGGCAACCCCTCCTGTCTCTGGACGGTGGGGACAGCGGCCCCTAGGGTGTGTTGTTGCTCCTTCTGTGGGTGGTCTGCTCACCTGTCACCTGTGGCATTACCTCTGAGCTGCCTGGTCTCTGGGACAAGTGCTGGTGCCTGCCCACCCCTCACAAGCTGACGCCCAGTCTTCAGAAAGTGGATCAGGGATGGTGCGTGCAGATGGAGACCTCTGAGCCTTCCAAGCCCCCCTCCCCCACTTGCAGTGAGCCTAGGCCTCAGTTCCCGTCTCAGGCCCTGCCCAGCCATCTCCTGCCAGCCCAGCCTCGCCCAGCCTAGGAGTAGGGGACAAGTTGCAGGCAGGCTGAAGAGTGCTCACCAACCCCTGCAGCCTCCTCTGCTCCCCAGGACACCCCCACCCCCACCACACTCCACATCTGCCCTAGGAATGCTGGGAACTCACCACTCACACACCGCAGTGCCCATCCCCTTGCTTTGGTCACTCATGCCCTGTCCAGCTCCCCAGGGTAGAGGCAGGCCTGGCACGGGGCTTGAGTCTGAGTCCTTAGCATGGCTCCACAGAGGAGACAGAGGAGGAGGGGAGGGAGGAGGAGAAGCCTGGGCCTCTCCTGGCCTTCTTGTCTGCTCCTTCCCTGCATCCCTCTTTTTGAAGCACTGAGAAGTGAGGCAGGGCTGAATGGGCCATGACACTAGGTTAGTCGTGCTTGCTTCGGCAGCACATATACTAAAACTGGAATGATACAGAGAAGATTAGCATGGCCACTGCACAAGGACGACATGACACTAGGTTAGCAATGGACATCCCAGGCAGGTGGGGTGGGGTCCCGGAGCATCCGTGAGAAAGACAGTGGCCTTCTGGTGGGAATGCTCAGCAGGGGGCTCAGGGAGGGCCCCGAGTGTGGCAGCACCCAGCTCCAGGGAAGCAGTTCCATTAGAAAGGTGGGACGCCGCGTGCCAAGGGACAGGAGCTTGGAATGCAGCCCTTCGCTAACCGTCATGGCCCGTCCAGGTGGTGGGAGGAGGGAGGAGAAGCAAACCCCACTTTGAAAGTCAATGCTGAAAATCCGGCAACGTCTTGGTGGAGCACCTGTGCCGGGGCTCACCTGGCAGAGAGGACGAGGTGGCAGGCAGAGACCTTAGGACAGACATTTGGACTGCCTTCTTCCTCTCCACTGTGCTGCAGCAAAATAGGTCCGAGTCTCACCGAAAGGAGGACACACAGGTGTCAGTCTCAGACAGGATGAGAGGAGACATCAGGAGGGACCTGCCCCCTCCTGGGGCCAATTTCCGGGCCCAGTGCTGAGGAACTGGCCCCAGACATGAGGCAGGAAAGGGGCAATGCAGTCCCCAGCTCTGCCCACCACATGTGGGGGGCCTCCCCGGGCCTCTAGGTGTGTCTCCAGGAGCCCAGCCTAGTTCTTCCTCACTGGGCTGAGGAGGTGACGAGGGTCTGATAGGACATCCAGGGCGCTGGCTCCCATGGCAACAGGCAGCCTCCCCTGGTCTGCAGTGACAGCTGAAAGTATCCTGGACTGGTCCCAGGGACCTTGACCTTGGCCCCGCCCCCCCTTGACTTTTAGCCTCAGAATGGTTCTAGTGGAAAAGACTGGGAATTGATTCTCCACTGAGAATTGATTTAAAAAGGTATGTGAGGCTATATTAACAGAAGCATGGGGTCCTGACTGAAGGAGGTGAGTGTTCTGCTGTGCCCAGGGCTGACCAGGCTGTACCCAGAGTATGGGGTCCTCCAGAGAGAGCTGTGTTTGCAACAAATCTAACAGAAACACAGGTAGCTAGGTCAGACCTTGGGGGAGCTTGGCAGGGTGGAGGTGGGGTGGGGGAGAGAACCCTGGCTAGTGGGGAGATGCTGGAGAAATGAGAGGCCAGAATTTGGGCAAGCAAGGCTTGTGCCCAGTGAGAATGGGGAGGATCATGCACCCTCACCCATTCACTGAAGGACCAGTGTGTGGAAGCAGGAGGGACCCGGCTATTCCCGCTAAAGGATGGAGCTTGAAGCAGCGTCTGGGAAGGTATAGGAGGTGCACTTGGGAGGCCTTTGCTAATCAGACTCAGGAAGTCCAATCTATCAGGTGGACAGAGGAGGACCTTTCTAATTAGCAGGACTTATCAGTACAGGAGTGAGCTCCCCATCACTAGATGTAATCAAGTAACCACTGATGTCCATCTAGGATATTGGAGAGGCATTAACAAAAGCTCTGGGACCCATATCTGTGGCTTGCTCCAGGCCTATTGAAACTGAATCTCTAACTGAAGTCTGAAACCTGCTCTAGTTATTTATCTTGGCCTCAGATCACAGTGTATGGTCCTCTGTGGTCAACTCAAAGCCCTCTTTCATGTTACTTTTCCTTGTGTTTTTCTCTATTCCCTGAACTCACACTCAGAACCAGACCCTCCTTCCGCATGTGTGATGGGGCTTGTGACAGCCTTGTCTCCCCTGTGTATGGGTGGGGTGTTTCGGTGTTTTCTGTGTGTTTTGTGATTTATATGAGTGCTATTTGCTGTCTCTTTCCTGCCTCTTACTCTTTTCATTCAACAGTGTTATTGAGATCTATGTGTGACAATCGACTTGCTGCTAACTGCTGGGTGGAAGCAGCCACTCCATCCTACAAGGTAGGAGATTAGGGCATGGCAGGAAGGCTGGACAATAGGGTGTATCCTGCCAATCATAGAGAGCTGTCAAATCACAGCACAGAACAGCCTCTGAAGGCTGGATCTGAGGCCAGGATATAAAAGACTGCACTGTTGGGCTCCTGGCCAGTCTTATTCTTCCAGTGACCTGTTCTGTGTACAGAGTATATTTTCTCTCTTCTTCTTTTCACATCTACTTCTTTTCTCTCCTCTTTTTCACTTCTATTTTTCCTTTTTAAAAAAATCTTCATGAAATTTGCATTCATCAGTTGTCTCTGCCCAATTCTTTGAACAAGACAAGAGCCTAAACCCCTGGACACTCCAGTGTTCAATAAAACTATCATCTGCCCCTCTACAGATGGACATTCAGGTCCCTCAACTCCCCACCTCTCCAAACTTTGATGCCATGGGTACCCTGTTCAAATCCTCCCTTATTGCACCACGGTCAGTTTTCCAGGCTGTGGACCCAGTTTTGCAGAATTCTGGGGTGCAGATCATGTGCATTTTAATTTCACTAAATACCGCCAGAGACTAGTTCGCCTTCAGCCTGCAGGATACAAGTCCCATCTCCCCACATCAAATGAGCTCCCCCTTTCTAGTTGATGCCCTTTGGCTGGGTGTGGGGAACGACAGCCTTTTATTTTTTATTTTGAGACAGGCTCTTGCTAAGTCACTGAGTTGCCTCTCGATCCTCCTGCCTCAGCCTCCCAGAGTGCTGGAGTGGCATGAGCCACCACACATGGCCTTTCCATAGTCTTGTCATCCTTTGCCATTCCTGTTTTATAAATGTATTGCCCTTTATTTTCTGTCGAGTTTTCTATCTTTTTAATTAACAGGAGTTTCTTGACTATTCTGGATATTAATCCACGCCAGGTTTTAAAGTTGCAACTATCTTCTTCTCTGGCTGGTTTGAGACTCTCACATCCAGCAGGTGAGCTAAGGGTCCTCAGCTTTTGGAAGCCCAAGGCTGTATAGCTAATGTCACCTGTAGTCACTTCTGATTCTGCCACTTTGTGCTGCTAAGATCCTTGGGCTCTCTGAGGTGTTGCTCTACCTCCCCTATGGGGAGAACCGAGATTCAGGAGGGGCCAGGGTGGGAAGTCATCAAATGTAGCTGTGCAGCTCGATGTTCCTGCTAGAAATGCTATGAAGATGTTTAGAGCAGTGGTCCCCAACCTTGTTGGCACCAGGAATGAGTTTCTGGGAAGACAGTGTTTCTGTGGACAAGGGTTGGGGTAGGGGTTTTAGGATGATTCAGAGGAGGATACCTCCTGGATCTCTCATGTGCGGTTCACAGCAGGGTCCATGCTCCTGTGAGAATCTGATGCTGCACTGACCTGATATGAGGTGGAGCTCAGGCTGTGATAGAGTGATGGGAGCGGCTGGAAACACAGATGAAGCTTCACTCCTGGCCTCTGCTCCCCTCTTGCTAGGTGGCCTGGCTCCTAACAGGCCATGGATGGGTACTGGTCTGTGCCCCAGGGCTTGGGGACCCCTGGTTTATAGGCCCTGGCCCAGCTGGGCTAGTAAGATCCACCTGGAGCTAGGGAGATACCTCATTTGGATAAAGTCTAGAACATCTCATTGTCCAGAACACATATTTGATCTACTGGAATGCTTTTGGCAATAGAAGCTTCACTTTTATCTCTGGGGAAGTTTTAAAACTAAGCAGCACATATTTCAGGCCTCCTCCTGGAGGGATAGGAGGATCTCTGATTCTCCCCTTAAACCTGGACTGTGCCCAAGGGATCTCAGCAGAAATGTCACTGTGTGACTTCTGAGGCCAGGGCAGAACAGGCTGTGTCTTCTACCTGGCTGTGCTGGGACACTCACTCTGGGAGGAGCCATCCACCATGTAAGATATCTGACTTTCCTGAGACAGCCAGGCCAGGGGGGCTGGGTAGAGGCACGGTGGCCAGCAACACTAGCTGAGCACCCAGCCATCGCTGGTGCCAACTACCAGTCATAAGAGGGAGCTTCCCGAGCCCACTCAGTGACTGCATGCGCAACCTCAAGGGACAGCTGTCCAGTTGGGCCCCTCCTGAACTCCTGACTCATGAGGTCATGAGATGACACCATTGCTATTATTACATCACTAAGTTTGGGGTGATTCGGTATGCAGCAGTAATAGCCACCACCATCTCCCTGAACATCATTCTTTAAACCTGTGTTGATAACTAGTACACACAGCGCCTGCAGGTGTGTTTCTGTTGTCTATTATTTCCGATGATTTAAATACAATGCCATCTGACTCCTTATGTGTATGGCTATTTTTAATTATACATTGGACATTGTGTTTATATATTTGTAGCATTTGGAGCCTAGGATGATGTTGTCTTCTTTGAGAGAGGACTCATGTTTGTGTCGGCCAGATGAGTGTCCCCTACTGGGGTCCCCTACTTCTACTTTGAGAATTGAATGGAAACTGTGCTGATTATTTCTAGTTTGCCCTTAGTGGCCAAGATAGAGACTTTTTCAAAATCCCTGCTCAAGGAGAGGGAATTCACTAACTCCTGGCAAGCCCAGAACATCAATCGATGTCCTGAAGCCTTTCACAAGGCTGTCAAAAAACTGACCCTTTCCCAGCACACAAACACCTTGAGAGGCCCCAAATGGCACTCTTACCTCTCTAGGTCTTAGTCGTGGTTTGGAAATCCTTCGCCACCTTGTTAGCTCTCTGATGCCTTCAAGCAGATTTTTAAAATGTTCCACTCAGCTCTTCTTGTCCTCTGTGGGATTCATGTTCTAAATCATTTAATTCATATATATCAAAAACATTAAAAAATGAGAGCATATTCTTTGAAAGTCTCTGTTTAAAATTGTGCCTTACTCTCTCAAAGCTTCTCAACCAGAAATCCATCTGATCTACTTTTCCATTAAGAACGTCCCCTACTGTAATTAAAACATAATGATGCCCCGACAGCGGGCCTGTGTTGTTGGCTCTGTCTCTGCCGTGAGATAACTCAAGACTGATTTAGGTGTTTAGCTCTTGGGGTTACTTTTTATTGTTTACATTTTTGCTATCTGATACCTCTTGCTCTCAGTGAGAGTATCTTTCACAGCCTTTACCCTATTCTGACTGAATTCTTTTAGCACCTATGTGAATTCTAGAGCCAAGCGTGCTAACTAGTATGCAAGATGAGAGAAGTCAGGCTCTGATTCAGGCAGGGGAAAATGCTGGGCAGAAGCCTGTTGGCCTCTGACCTGGGTGGGATGTGGAGGTGGTCAAGTATGAGGACCAGGGTAAGTAAAGGGTCGCTGCACTTGGCTTGACCCAGGTGCCCTCTAGAGTAGGGCACTGAAGGCCATGTGCATAGCCCTGAAGTAGCCCAAGGGCTTTGGGCAACCCTTTAATGCATGCTCTTTGTTTCCAGGGCCCCACCCTGTCTCCTGGCCAAAGAGACTCAAGAAATCCGGGCAGAGAATGGTGCTCCCTGCTGCCCAGCGGAGATGACCACTTCACGGAGAGCAGAGAGAGGAAGGAGGAGGAGAGCGAAAAGAAAGGTCCTCTTTCAGGCTGAGGACGCTGTGGAGTGGCCTCCCCTGGCCTGCCAAGAGCTGACTCACCGGCCGGGACACAGCATTACAGGTGCACTCAGCACAGACAATGGATGCTTTTTATACACAGCCCCACGCCTGACCGAGACTGACCACTGGGGTCAGGTAGAGACGGTGCCCCAGGGAGTATGGGCCTGGAGGCATGAGTAGGAGAGGACCTGGCCTGGAAGCTGCCATTCTCCAGCCTTCCAGAGCTGGGGTCTGAGCATTCACAGCCATGGAGACCCTGCAATTTCATGGCCAAGGGACTTCTGAGGTGAGTCTCACTCTTCTTGTCCCAGCAGGCACTGCAGCCAACATGCCCCGTGACACTGGGGAAGGCCTACTACACCTTTCCTGAGCCTTATTTTACCCCTTCACCATCTCATTAAATCTGCACTGGCCTTGGAAGTAGGTGCCATTGTTGCCCATTTTACAGATGGGAAAACTGAGGCACAGATGGTGCAACAGTCCTCAGCTGAGAGCTAGGTTTCAAAGCTGGGGCTGAGAGTGGAGCCCATGCCAAACCCTGCTCCATATAGCCTCTCACAGAAACAGGGACCCAACGCCCAGTGCCCCAACATGGGGCCACTCAGGGCACTCAGCAGTGGCGGGGGTGGGGGGCGGGTGGTCAGGAGCTTCCCGGAGGGGGAGATGTGTGGCTCCCCCATGTAGATGGGAAGCATGGCAGGTGAGAGCACTGGATGGGGGGCTAAGACTTGGGACCCTTCACTGACTCCTGCATTGGGCAGGTTGGAGGCAGGGAGAAGCGCAGGGTTACTGACACGCAGGCTGTTCACGGCTCTGACATCGGCAGCTGTGTGAACGGGGGCAAGATCCTGAGGCTCCCTGGGCCTCAGCCTTCTCATCTGTACCATGGAAGAGATGGCAGCAACCCAGTGGGCTGTGCAGGTATGAGGGGTGGTGATTAGTGGGCTGGGCCCTGCAGTCCACTCCACATAGCGCCGAGCCCATCTGCCTTCTCCTCTCTGGGCCAGGGCGTCTTTCCTGTTCTCTTGGCCCCATGCTGGGGTCTCTGGCATCCGCATGATCCTCCCATCCCTCCTCCTCAGCATCCCTCCCTGGTGAGCCTGGCTCCTTCTCCCACTCTTTCTCAGATGCATCCTGGGCTCCTTGGCCTGTGTCCCCTGGAGTTCTTTCTCTGCCTTGGCCCCACGGTCCAGTGTCTGGAGCCCTAGGTTTGAGGTCCAGTCCTGGTCTGCAGGGTTGGCATCACCTCTCCCAGACACTGCCTGTCTGTAATGCAGGTTCCTGGGGGTCAGAGTGAGTCCACAGGTTCAAGCCCAGGCTGTGTTCCAGGGGAAGGAGGTGGATAAAACTAGGTGGGCTTCAGGGAGGTGCCCAGCATGTCTGCCCTCCTCCACTGCCATCCCCTCCTCCACCTGTCCAGAGCCTCCTGGGCTTCTTGGCCTGCAAAAGGAAAACCCTTGCTCTCCCGTGCTGAAGGCTGGGGCCTTGATAAGGACTTAGGAGAGCAAACCCAGCTTGCTTGTTAATCCTTCCTGCTCAAAGTACGGGACTGCCAGGGAGCTGGCTGGGCAGGGGCCCCGGGCCAGGCACATCTAGATCTCCAGCCATGGGCAGGAGACAATTAGCCAGTTGGTCTGGAGGGGAGCAGGTCTGGCTGCGGGGCTCTGGGCTGTGTCCCCCAGAGAGCAGGACTTCCCGGGGGAAGCTGCAGACAGTGCTGAGGGCACACAGGGTGTCATTTACAGAGGGGAACTGAGGGCTTCGGCTCTGCACCCTCTGCCCCACCCAACCTCCTATGTGGGAGCCCTGTCATGGCAGAGAGGGATTGGCACAAAGCCACATCTGGGTGACACTCAGCTGCTGTCATTGTTATTGCTTTATTTTTACCACATACAGAGCTTCTATGAAGTAACATTTTCTCTCTCTGTTATCAGTCCCAGGTTAAGGATGGGAAAACTCGAGTGGAAATTCACACTTAAGTCCCCAGAATCTAATTCCTTTCAAACATTATCCTGTGCTGTGTTGGGGTGACTCTGGCAGAGTTCCTAGCTTGCCTGGGCCTGCTTGGTCAGGGGCTCTGGAGGACAAGCCCAGGAATCTGTTCCTAATGACTCTGGCCCTCACCACTCAGCTGACTTGGATGGAGGGGTCTGAGGGTCCAGCTCAAGAGGGGCACAGGGCAGGCACCACCTTGCATATCTTCTGGCTCCAGAGCACTCTCTGAACCTCCTGGGTGGGAGGGTCTGAGTCTGCTGTGGAGGGGAGCAGGCTGGGAGACAGGCCATGTCCTACCGGCCATGAGCCCCTTCGTCCACTGAGGAGCACTCGGTGGCTGTTCCCTTACCTGCTCTCCGTCACAGCAAAGGCAAGGTGGGCAGCACCTGGCTGAGGGTCTATCCAAAATGGCTTGTGAGTTCCTTGTGTCCCTCTATGACAGAGAAAGCTCTCAGCTCCTTCAGGGCCAACTGGATACAGGGCTCTCAGGCCCGTGGTCCCTGGCCCAGGCCACCCACTCTGCAGGCAGCTGAGTCTGTTTCTCATTAGCCTCTGGGCCTTGAGGAAACCAAGGTCTGAGGCTGGCCAGCGGCCTTGTGGTTTAGGAAGGAAAAGAGGCCAAGTCCTTGAGTTCCTGGGGTCTCTGCATTCATGGCCTGCACAGGCATGTGCACACGTGCGCGCGTGCACACACACACACACACACACAAACACACACGAATCAGCAGGCACGCCCCGATGTGCACACTTCCTCATGGGCATGTGCTCTGGGCATGAGGCTGCAGGTCTGACAGGGAGTCCTGGGCTTAGGGCGGCCCATTACACCTGGTGGCCAAGGGGACAGAAAGGTCCTGATCCTAGAAGGCCTCCCCAGTGGGTCCCTGCTTCTCCTGTCTCTGTCTCAGCTTCCTCTTGGGCTGTCAGGTGCTGGGCCAGGACTGCCATCAGCTCTGTCCCTGTCCTCCAAGCCCTAGAGGGGCTTCCGGACTGATGGGGGGAGGTTCTGAGGTGTGAAGAACCTTCACCATGGTAGCTGTCCCTGAATCACAGTCCCCACACCAGGAGGACAGGAACTGGTGACTAAGGAGCACATCTCACAGAGGCTGGTCCTGGCAGGTACTTCCCTGCCTGGTTACAAGTCATGCTTGGCAGGGGGCAGGGGCTAGTGGCCAGGAGGAGAGGGCATCAAGGGCCTATGGCCCTGGCACAGACCTGGTCCTGTGGCTGTGCCTCTGCTCTGACTGCTCATCCATCCCGCTGCCGCTGCTCTGCTTGGATGCTGGGGAATAAGCTCTGGGGGCTCCAACAGCAGGGGCCATGCTGTGGCTGACCTTGCACACCAGAGCTGGCACAGGGCCAGTGCAGAGTAGGTGCCCAGGACACACTGAGTTCATGAGGGCACTGTGACAGCTCCTGATTTCTTTCTTTCCATGTGTTTGGCTTATTCCTCTGTCCCCTTCAGACCTGGGATGTCCCCAGCACTGCTGAGCTCTGCTAAGGTCCAGTGAGGGGCATAATGTGAGCTCCCAGGGCCTAAGGAGCCAAACCCAAACCATCCCCCATTGTGGGTGCTCCTTGCCAGCCTCATAGAGGAAACTGAGGCTTGAGGCTGGCCAGCAGGAGGCAGACTTCCCAGAGGGGCCTAGGGACACCCTCCCTGGTCCTGTCATTTTGAGCAGAGCCCCTGCCCTGGCCACTCTGACACTGGCCTTTGCCAGCCCTCAGCACCCACCCCTGCTCCTGGAGCCCAACTGTGGGCCTGTCTGTGCCTGGTGAGGAGAGATGTGAGGCTGTGCAGTGCCACTGTCCATGGGGACAGGTCACAGCAGCAGGCGGAGGTGGGAGAGCTGGAAGGGAGGGCTCAAGTGCCAGCCACTTCCCCCGGTGGCTGGACAGAAGCTTCTGGAAAGGCTGGGCTTGAGGACAGGCCCTGGGAAATGAAGGCTGCTGAGCTGAGGGCTGAGCCCTGGGCTCAGGTTGTGGGCAGTGAACTGTCCCCTTCAGGAGGGGCAGGGCAGGGGACAGTATGAGAAACATGCTGGGAGCTAGCTAGGCTGGGTGGTAAGCAGCTTTGGGCTGGGCCTCAGGCCCAAACAGGATGTGCATTCAGCTTCGACCCTCGAAAGCTGAGGCCCTGGGCAAGTGATTTAAGGCCTCCAGACCATGTTCAGCTCCATGAGACAGAGGACAGCAGCCCAGGAGCACACAGCAAGCCCTGGGTGACATCAGACGTGCCCGGTGTAGGCGTGGGGGAGGGGCAGCCAGCCAAGCTCACCTCACAGGACTTTAATTGACTGTTGACATCTGGTTTCCTTTCCTAGAGTCCAGCTCTAGGATCTTTATCTCTCACGCCTGGCACATCTCAGGGACGCAGACCCACGTGCTGAAAGGACAGACACACAGACAGGGAGCAAGGGAGAGCAGGGCGTGGACAGAAGCTTCTGGAAAAGCTGCCGTTGAGGAAGGGCTCTGGGAGACAGAGGCTGCCGGGAGGAGAGCTGAGCAGCTCCAGCCTGGCGGTGGACCTCAGGGTGAGGTCAAGGTGGGAGACAGAGCCCCACACAGAGGCTGGACAGCTGCGTCCCCTGTTCTGGGTCCCCAGGGTCTGCGGTGGGCACAGGGCAGCCACTGAAGTGAGGAGCCCCTGTCCCCCCCTCACAGAACCCGAGGGCCATGCCTGGGGCCTGGCGTCCGCTTGTCACCGGGAGAAAAGCCAGTTTGTCCTGCAGACCCTACAGCCAGAGCAGGCACAAGTGCTGGAGATAAGAGGATCTTGAACAAATAAACTCCTCTGCAGGGGCTTGCACGAGGAGAGAGCAGGAGCTTTCTCTCCCTGTCTTTTCTCTCCCTTTCTTTTCTCTTTCTCCTTCTTCTTTCTTTATTTTTTCTCTCATAGTCACTCTCTTCCTTTCTTTTGTCTCTTCCATTCTTTCTTTTTTTTAAAGTTTTTTTAACTTAAAAAAAATTTAGTCTTTTAAAAATTTATTTTAGTGATCCCAATATCTGTATTTAATCTGTTTTTTTTGTTTATTAGCATATGTTTGTGACATAATGAATATATTCATGGTGGAGTATTGGTATGAGTCTTTTTATTCCCCACTCCCTTTAAAAATCTGTTTTTATGAACAACGAACAACTTGTCCTCCAGATTTTAAAAAGCAAAGGAAGAAAATCATCCATCAAGGTATTATCCTGGGCTGGCAACTGAGGACCTACCTGTCCTCAGGGATCCCAGTCTGAGGAAATAGATAAACACACCACCCATCTTAGCTTATTACTTCATTTTGGGGGTGCAGCGTGGAGTGGCCCCCAGAGTCCCTATCAGACAGGGGTGAGAAAGAATATAGGGAAAGCTGTCAGTACAGGGCAGTAGGCAAAGCTGATGTCCCAGAACCCCCTTGTGTAGGCTCCAGGACCCCCACCCCATCTGTCCCCAGCCTGTCTCTGAGTCAAGGGAGGGTCATAGAGGCCAGGGTCCCCCTGGACTGTGGAGAGTCTGGCCGGAGAAGCAGAAGCCGGAGGCCTGTGGTGTCCATGGTGAGTAACCGCAGGAGATAGCCATCTCGGATAGCGGCCCTCACACCATTTCAGACGCTGCCAGAGGGAGCCTGTCCGGGACAAGCTGCGCCTCGCACAGCCCAGGGCCTGGGGGAGGAGACAGGGCTGGGGGCGGGCAGACTCAGGAGCTCTGGCCAGGGTCGGATTGGAGACCAGAGGCCTTGAGGGCAGGAGTGGCTGCTGCTGTCTGTCTTTTTGCAGTGGGAACATTGCTGTTCCTGACATGCACGGAGACAGAGGGGTGGGCTGAGGGGGTTCTGCAGCTTCCTGGCTGCACCCTGCACATCATACCCTGTGTGCTGTCAGCAGCAGCCTCTGTGTGTGCTGCCCACTGTCCCAACGAACTGCGGGCAAGTGGGCAGCTCCAGGGAGGACGGCACACTTTCCATGAAATGAGGATCCCCTCTGGAGCCAGATGGTGAGCTTCGGTTGTCCACAGGCATTTGGAAATACCAACACTGTACCTTGTGGTACAGATGGGGAAACTGAGGCTCTGAGAGCAGAGGGAATGTGCCTAGAGTCCCTGAGTACTCCCCAAAACTCTCTTCAACTCCAG